CCATCCTGTGTAGCTCGTTGGGTCACACAGGTGCACAAGCCATCACAGCACGTCAAGGTATAGTCTCAGTGATGGGAACGACAGAAATGATTCAATGTCCACGATACGGAAGAAGCTAATTGTACGTCGGGGACAATAACGCTGATTGCAACTAACAACGGTCTACGGTAAAATGAATGGTTTCTTGTGGAACTCCAACGTCTAGGACAAATGTAATCTTATGGGAACCATTAGAGAAGCAGCCGTGTGCGTTATCTTTTGACCGTCCATCCCAAAAGCTACTAACTCCGAGAAAAGGGCAAACTTATTCGGCCTCGAAGATGTTCGTTATCGAATAGGAGGCAATATGGCCAATATGACCGGAAGAGACATAAAGAGACGAAATCCTAAGGACCTAATATCTTTGCAAACACGACATTCATTGATCAGCAAACGGGAGTGGCTTTCATCGCGTGTCAACAATGCAGTCGAACACTCAGAAATCCCCGGTAAAGTGCAACAGGAACGAGTAGTCGGTAAAAGCTATTTCTGCAATACTTCTACATCTGATGCCGTTACCGCATATCACCACTCGTCAGCTCATAAGACTGAGAAAATCATACACTGCCAATATAAGATGTGCCGCTATTCGGTTCACGTTAGCTCCTTCGGTAAATAACATCAGTGGTCATAAGATACCGAAACAGTTGGTGCACAAGATATGAGATCGTGGTTGAATCCAAACTCACCGCCAAGATTCCGGTCTTCTCATAAAGGGATTCGCCACAATTGCTGGAAGAAACATAGAAAAATAATAACTCGAATTAGTACAGTATAATCAGCTGTACGAAGTCTTCGCAATGACTATACGGATCGACAATACGATCAAAAAGGTATGAAACATTCGGTCGATTATCACACCGAAAAGTGGAGAATGTTGTCAAGAACTGCTATTGTTTCTCTCGAGACCCGTTGTTCACCTGATTGTAGTCGGCTGTATTCCGCACATACTCAGCATTGCTATCTATACCATTTACCGATAGGCACTACTACTTTACTGGACTTCGTTCTGCTGTCCATATCGTGCGTACCGTTATTGAGATCAAGTTGCCGTCGGATGACGAAGCGTTACAGAACAAAATTAGCCAGATGAATAAGAAAATCACAGGACAGCAAAAGTAGGCCGTCAAAACACTGGCAGGATCAGGGTCCACTCGGTACAAATATCAGCGTAACAGTAGTGTGACAGTGAAATTCACTTCGGATACAATATGCACAAGGCTCACAGTAAACTTTAGTTCCAGCAGAAAAAAACAGTAGGGAGAAAGTACAGCAGATATAGAAAAAGTATGGTAAATGGAACATGGGAACGTGAAGAAAGAAGATGGTGTCAACCAACAGCACGTCTATAAAAAGGAGAACGGCGAGATAAGGAACATGCAAGTCCGTGGGGAGCGTGTGTGGCGTAGGCGCATGATGTGCACTCGCGGTGTGGGGCTGCGGTTTGATTCATAAAAGCGGCAGAGTTTTATGCGTAGAGCAAGTGTTCAGAAAGTTTCATGTCAGTGAGAATAAGCAAATGAACGAATATACCCTCAAAATGTACTTATCTTAGTACAGATATTGATCGAACTCATGCAACAGGGCTCTCATTTTGAAATAAATTTCAGTGTCCATTGTTATACGTGTATATCGATAGCTGTGGGTGAACTGCATTTAATCCGAATTTTATCTCCCACGGTTATGTTCATAGTTCTCCCGTATCACCGGTTGAATTTGTGCGACCTTCAGGGTTACGAAAAACTTGGCAGTAGTTCGAAAGTTAGAGCTCAGGTTTGGAAAATATTTTATACAAAGCAGCTTGGAAATTCAGTCTTTTAAATAAATGATTCCCGTTTCATGAGAGCGTTTATTCTGGCCATTACATGTATTTCAAATGGTCTCCTTTTTTCAGTCAGTGCACTGTAAATAAGCCGTCTAATGAAAATGTCCTGGCTTGAATAAATTGAGAAATCATGCGGCTACAAACTACTCACGTGAAATTCCTCATTCGGAAGGAACTAAGAATTTATTCTATGAAACAAAAAATTACCTTGAGGTGTGCGGCTCGTTAAATAAGCGTTTAGTAGTGTCATCATGCTCAAACTGGATGAGACATCGGGGAAATATTTTGGCATATAGTTGAAGCCGAGTGGCAACTTATTCGAGAGGCGCATAAATCCGACGACTCAGTACCTGACTTGTGCAAGTGCTTCAATGTGAAGATAAGCCCAAATTATCGTATAACCAACGGAATTTCTCTATCAAGACATAAACTAAGGAGGGGGGGAGAAAACCGATTACATCGAAGCAAGACGATGAAAGGATTTAATGGGAGCGGAGTCAAGTTGCAAACAGCCAATATAGAAAACAATTCGGGTGGATTAGCCGCAATTTTCTCATGCCACCGTTTTTTAAATGATGGTCCAATTCGAGCTGCAGCTGGGATCAGCAACCGTCGTCGAAATCGAAAAATCGTACAATTTAATGGCATTCGATGTGGGGCAACATCGCATTCAAACCATTGAATGCGGCTCCAAACGTTAAGCCTACGGAGAAACAAATCTAATGAAAGTCAGGGTTTTTCATGAGTCTTATCAACGCCCATACATAAACTGACATAAAAATGACACCTTTTGATGCAACAAATACGAAATTTTAACTAGAAGAGAAATACACATGTAAGGTCACTCTTAAGTATACTAATTCAAATGAGAAAGAAACATCAAATTAAGAAGGAGCAATTAAGGGGTTGCAAATGTTGCTTGCTTTCTCTCTCTCTCTCACACACACACACACACACACACGCAAAACTCGCCAGTTCACAAGAAGCGGGAAATTAGGGATTTAGATAGACTTACCTGCAACAATGATTTGGATAACGATCGAATGTGATGGTTCTCTGTGCACAATTACGACATCGAAAGTATCGTTTAGTGCCTTTGACGTACACTAACTGGTGCTCAGAACGACGACAATCAGGGGCCGCTTTCCATGCACGGTAGCCACACTTCAATTGTGCAATTGGATGAAAATTAAAAACGTCGTAGTTGATCGGTTAACACCCAAAGTGTAGAAAAGTACTATTGGTCAATCTAAAAACCACAGGCTAACAGAGAATCGACTTTGAAAGCGACACACGTTGTGTTCGGGGAACACATAAGTGACAGCAGGCAGTGCTACTCTGGGACGGAGAAGAAAAACAAAACAATTTCCCGTAACAACGAAACTCAGTCACAAAACAACCAACGCGGATAGTGTCTCAAATTTATGAACAGTCGCACAAAACACATGATTCATTATTTACCTCCTTCTCAGAGATCCTGATTAGTTTATACGAGCGTTCCACATCCCATGGTGCAGTCAGTGCCCAAATGGTTGTAGTAATTGGTTTGAAGATTAGAATGAATTACGCCAATCTCTGCTTTGAATTAATACAACAATCCCCACCCAATTTCATATCGAATACTGGGACAAAACGGTACGAGGAGACGCATAAAGTCTTTTCTACCTTCATATGAACATACTGAAACACAATACAGAACGATAGTGACAAAAACAATATTGATTATAGTGTATCAGCTCTGAGGGAACATTGTGTAGAGATGGTAATCCGTGGTTTAGCAGCTATTTGCTGAAAAGATAAATTTAAACCAAAATTCGAGAAAAGGTTATCACAGTGAGTGACTGGTTAGTTACTAACGTGACCGATGGTAAGTGGAAGTGCATTTCGAAGCTTTTAAGACTGCTTTAGGTTTTGGCAAAAAAGTCTTACCTGCGTTAAAGGGGAGCATTATTCGATTGGTATTAATTTTAGCGCGCAGATACCTAACTATAGTACGGATAATCGCTGAGCGAGTTTATTTCCTGATATGTTCTGATCAAAACGATTCAAGAAGTGTTTAGTGGGAGTCCTTGAGTAAGCCATTCGGTGTATTGTAAAGTTCTTTGTAGTGTCTAAAGATATTTGGAATCAACAATAGCCTTGCGTTTCACATTGTTTTGGCGTAGTATCAGCATTCTGTTTTCATAAATGGTATAACGGGATCAACAGTAAGCGGGATAAAAGCCACATTCTGAAGACCTATCATAGATTAAGTCAGGTTGATGCGGAACTATCATATCGAAACTATTATACTGATTCGCTGTTTGAAAACAACAATTGTGAGGGAAATGCAGATAGGTAGATGGCGTTTCATAGTTTTGTGGTTCTTGGTAAAAAGGATGAGCTAAATTCAGAATTTCGCGTGGGGACAGTCATTTGTAAGGAAAGCTTACTGCATGGGTGCGGTTTAGGGGAGTAGACAGGAGGAGAGCAGGAACTGAACATACGAGTCCCTGGGTACAAAGATCGTGATAGTAATGATGGTAAAAGGGAAGTAACAGATTAGCAATGGGATAGTGACCACGTAGAAGAGGTAAATGTCGGGTCATGGATTCGTATGAGCAACTATTGGACAAACATTTCGAGCAGAACATCGACTGAAGTTATCTGCGTGAAGGATCAAACATTCCGTGAGATGCGATAAAGCTTCCTCATTGTTGCATCGTGTAGGTTGAAATGTTTAACTATGTGACAGAGTGCAAAAAGCTCATGATTCATTCACGAAAGGAAGACTTGGATCATGACCAACAAAGTTACGAGAGGATAGAAGAGCTACTCACAGTTTTACAACGAACATATGTACATGGTTCTTCGTTTTGTTCCGCCAATTTTTGTTGAAATTCATCGCGCTTCTCCAAGGTGAACAATCGCTGTTGTTCCGAGTGATTTTCAGCTACCGTGACCAAATCCGTATGAGCAGAACCCAGGCGCACTTGGAGCTCCAAAGCAGCTAACCGTTCAGCCTTTTGTTGCTTGGCTGTGTTCGAAGCACTTGATTTATGCTTGTTTTCGTCAGCCTGGATATTATTTTCGGTGTCAGTGGTAGGAGACTCGTTTGATGAAGTAGTAGTCTTCCGGTTAGAAGGTCCCAGGACCTGAGATAACGGTCTTTTTGGTTAAAACGAAAATAAACCATTATGATACGACAGATGTAGGCAATTACATCAGAAGTGGTTAGTCCAATAAAAACGTTTAGAATACAAACATGTACATATTTAGTACGGAAGTTGACTTTAGGTAGTTTAAACACGAAAAAAAATTGTACGAATGTAGTCACAAAATCGGACACATATCGAGCCGATTTGTTAACAAGACGATCAGAGAATCAAGCTTGCGTCTAGCTAACTCAAACAATCAGTACAGGTTATCTTCAAATTGACAAACCACTGAATAATAGCTTGTTTCACTATTTTGCCAATGGCAAATATATTGGGAGCATGGTTCAATTAAACGAATGTTGTCTTGTCTTACACGTACACACACTGGTTTGTTCATTGTTCTGCCCTTTTGTAGTGTGTTGATTATCAAATCCAAGGTTGTAAAATCAGGTTGAGCGAATGAAACTCACGATGGAATGCTTAGAGAAGGTAGGTTCGCCATTTCCGATAACCGTCTCCGTTTTTGACGTTGCTCCATAACCTGCAAACCCCCTTGTGACTGAACCAAAGCAGTCGCCCGAAGGCGCGAAGCAGTGAGAATGCGCTCACCGGACCCAGCGGGAGAAATAGGACCAAGATCGATGAACCCGGAAGATTTCGGTAGACAAGGTTTGTGACCAGCCGGTGAACATTTCGGTACGGAGGCAAAAAATTCAGTGAATGTGACTGAGAGTTTTGGTTTCTTATTCGGACTAATATTGGGGGATCGTGTACGAACAGAATGGTTTCGATCCGAAACTGTCTCACCAGAGGCAGAAGTCTGCTCTAATTCCAACTGTCGTAATAAATTCAACGAACCCGCACTAGGTCGCTGCAATGCACTGATTAGTTTACGCTCGGGCGAGCTTATCTTTGGACGGTGATGTTGACTAGAGTCCACGGAGTTAGTTGTGAGATTTGTCGGGNGGTTGGGAACAGGGGGTAAATGCGCCGTGGTTGGTTGGCGACTCAAGCCAGTGGCTGCGTCGAACTGGTAACCTGCAGCTGATAATTTTGACGCACTGAGTTTCACGCGCGTGGCGACACTAGACAAAATTGAAATGCATGATTAGGATATCGATTGAAAGAAAACGAATGAACGACTAACTCTAGCAAAATATAGATTTAACTTCAGACCAAATTTATTTTAAAAAATGATTCCAACGCCGAGAAAATTTCATTCGAAGTCACATTCCCTCTCCCTTGTAGTCATATGACTCCGAAAGCCTCAGTATGGGCACGGTGTGTGTCTTAGGTTGTGGCTGGTTACCTCTCTGTTGCACCTTGCGAAATGCTTGCATACGACCAAGCGTCTCAAATAGTTGCTGCTGACAAAGCCCTACCCACTGCCTTTTCATAGCCTAGACGTTTTCCCAACAAAGTGAGGACGAAAAGCCAATATCTGGAACCGTAACCGGGTCAGTGAGATACTGACAGTTCACCTAGGGGAGCTGGCTAAAACCCTGATTCCAAACAAACAAAGAACAGTACGCACCACACATGCAAACACATTGGTGGTTATAACAGTGATCAACTGCTAAATTGGGCACGTTAGACGTTTGATCCCGTTCGAAGGGTATATAAAAGGAAAAACCGGACACTGGCTCGCAATGGACTGGGGTTTCCACATCGCTACGCTGCCTTGTGTGTCAGGTTTTGGCTAGCCGAAGGCTCCGGTTGTTACTTCATCAGGGAAGTTAATTCGCCTCGGCCTGAGCAACCGGCTGTATTCCGCCCACAAGCCAACCACGGAATTTTTTTATAAGGATCATTCTACTGTGATTCGTTTGACTCAGTCTTGCTTCAGATGTGTGTAACAGTCGCATAATTTTCAGTCCAACTACAGTTTTCTGCAAGCAATATTTCGATACTATGTGATAAACCTTCGCAGTATCCGTGATGCTAGGTTGATTTCAGGCGAATAACCGTTTTCAGTAATTCATAATTAATAAGAAAATCTAGTTCTGATGAATTACTGGAAACAATTATTCGTCTGAAAGTGTTCGAAATGCGGGTATGATCATAAATTGACGTCCTTACACCGAAGTGCTGAAAGCCGTTTTCATATAATGTTGCTGTGATACTGAGATGTCCTGATTGCTCAGGACTTTGAAGCAACGGCTGAATTGTGAGACCTTACATCGAGAGTACTTTCTTAGTTAACCCTGGTCAGAGCGTTCGTCTGCATCAGTAATCGTGAAGGAAACGAAAGGAGTCCGTAGCGTTACACAACTGAAGACATCAGACCAATAGAAAATAATCAGCAAATCCAGAAAGAAATATTTACTGTGTGGGTTATCATTATTATTCCCCTTTCGGGAATCACACTTCAATCTCATGCTTAGGCTGACGCAAAACTATCTCAAATGAAACAGAAACTAAGTACCGTCAACTGAAGGTAGATAATTAAAAAGCCTCATTAGTTTCGAAACCCTTGTAATAATTAATTGTTTTTTCACGAGATTCAATTGCGAACGGAACAGAGGAGACCATGGAAGCACCATGCAGTTGACCAAACTGTGTTGTGTAAAATTCGTACACGGTCGTGATGCAAACTCTTGGAAACGATAATCACTTGATCAGGGAATACCAGATCAAGTTGATCCTTCGTCGGGTAGAGGAAGAACTGCTCCGCTCATCTATTTATTTTCCGGTTAGCACACCGGTTCAAAAATGAAAATCAGAAAACGCTCAATTGGGAGACCCATCCTCTCAGTCCGGTAGATGAAGACACGACGGAGGTGTTCATCCTGTGCGTGCAATCACACAATTCAATTTGCAGCAAAGCAGAAATTTTTATAAAATGGACTGATATCCTGTGCTCATGGCTCAATAAACAACAGAATACTAGAAGTAGTACGCTAAAAACGAGAGATATCTTATCAATCGTTTGTCACTGACAAAATGTGACGGACAGAACGTTGGAATAACTACTATAGAATAACACTGGTGTGTAAACAAGATCAGAAGTCATGAAGACTACTTCAGTGAGGATATTAGGAGAACGAATGTTATGACTCCAAAACAGACATGACGGAGTCTTATGGAGAAAAGTTTACTGATCTCACGTGAAAAGAACCCACGCACAGTAGCAATACATTATGGAATACAATTGAATAATCCTACCTGGGGCGTCGATCGAATTCTGTCATCATGAAAGACTGCGAGACGGGCAAACAATATTGGGGAGTTTCTTGACTAAATGGAAGAATATCACTTTTCCGACGAGTGGGACGTTTACCGAAAAGTGGTTGCCTGGAAAAACAAGGAAGGAACCTTTAATTGAGAATGATAGAAAATGGAGTTTTTGTTTTCCATATTGAATTAGATAAGCGAAACAGCATTAATTAGATCAGTGCCACGCATTTCTTGTGACAGTGAACATCTTCCAACGTGCTTGATAAATTCAACTTTGGAAAATATTTGCACTCCAAAACTTTAGTGATACCCGACAATGAAGGTACATTTAAAAAACGATCCCTTTGATTGTCGCATGTTTACAAAGGCATAATTAGCTAAGCAACATCGTCACTGACTACAAAGCGATAAATCATATCATCACTGTATTTAGACCCCATTTGCCCTTTATTTTTTGCATTGCACGATTATTCGTAATAGGCACACTTTTACTCAGTTCTGTTTTGCTGAACAATACAAGTTTCACACAATGAACAAAACCGAAAATGCAAGTAAGTTGATACTTGCTTTCCCATTAGTTTTATTCCTCTACAAACCGTTGCTTTATTCGACAAGCCCAGTAGCTACACTTGAAGGATGGCGACTTTGGGGTGAAAGCTTTCAATCGGCCCAACATCACTGTGTATCAGTGAGATCGGTTGTAAGACAACATGTGCACACGACGCTTTGTGATAGGATGTGTAGCAGTACATGAATCCTTCAAACCAACGGGTTACCTCTGAATGCTCAGTCGATGTTCGGGAAAAGTCGTGAGGTAATCAAATATTTGATCATTGGTGCTAACTCAGTCAATGAACTTATTATACGGGAAAAAGCAACAAGTGTTTCAAGACGACATGGGAACAGACACGGGCTAGTACTCACATTGTTGTAGCGAATCCTGGCCGAGATGTACTGGCCTCGAAATACGCCTTTTTTACGTGTACATCACAGTAGCGACAAATCGATCTGGTGACAGAGAGAAAACTACGAATTAAAGAGCAGGACTTTGGTACACATGAACGAATCAAACGTGTGTATATTATACACAGACTTCATTCATTCGAACGGACATGTATCTTAAACACGATTATCCATATGAGATGCTAACTGAAACCAATTTCAATTTATTTTATTGGCCTACGCGAGTTAAAAAGTTCTCCTGCGATAACGACATTAAAGAACCGTTTTAAACAACGAGAAGAAGCATACGACCACGGTTTACTGATTTTCATTCATTTGAACAAGTGGTTAACAGCAAAACGTGAGATTTATGCGAACTAGGTAAATTATAAAGCCCGTGTAAGGAGATCAGACACTAAACTACCTTAATNTACTGGTACTTTCCATACCACGTAAACAACAATTAGCAAGTTAGATCGAATATGGTGCGTGATTCACTAGAATTTGTATTTAGGCCATCATATCTAAGGGCGACTGGTGTATTTCAAAGCTTAATTCATTCTCACTTTCTTTTACTGAATATATAATGATATTTTTTAGAAAAGGGGAAGCGGCCAATCAAAGGGCTACCAAACAAAACGCAACGGAGAAAGTCAGACGATGGTGATGGAATTCGAAAACACGTCCTCCGGGGTGTTCATTTTGTGAAGTTACAACCACATTTGTGCAACCGCTACAACCGTTTTTATTGACGGATAATTTATTAGTGGTGCAGAGGAAGAATCATTGTACATAACGGTTGACCTCAATACGGACACCTTCAGAAAACTAAGCGTCAGTTCCTAGCCAGGTGCAATTATGCTACTGTTTCTTAGTGAATAAACATAAGATCACGGGAAGGGTCGATTTTAGTGATTCATTCATTAGCTATGCGAGTGGTTAGTATGAGGATAAATTTTGTTAGTTCCTTGGTGTATCTGGGGGAGGGGGAGTGCATGCGATTTACTTGGGACAGAGTTGCGTGCCATGGTCGTGTGACGTATGATAAACACATTAGACTAAAAATGTGTCGATTGCTGGGTTGCAAACTTACTTGTTAACCACGTGAAAGCACTGTTGACCCGTTTTTGTGGTGGCAGCACAAACACCAAAATCAGGTGAATGACCCAAAAGCATCACATGCATCGCTGACTCTATTGTGATACTGATGTCCTTCTCCGAAGAGCCTACCTGTGCAAAGAAGCAGACAGAAAAACAAACCACAGCAGAAACATTAGCACCAAAATAGCGAACATACATTTACGTGTGATGTCTGTGAAAAATTCACAGAGGTTTTGTTGAAAGTTTGATATTACATAACTGTCATGAAAATCAGAGCGCAAGGCACAAGTGACAATTTGCTTTCGACGACCTTATGTTTCAGGCTAGTGAAATGACACCGATTAAGGAGTCATTATCGTGGAGGTGGGAGCAATGCCTGAGTTAATTTCCCTATGGAGCACTCAAGCGGTTGAGTGTAGGTTGTCGAAACGCTCGTTAATGTCCAAAGCCTTATGGTGGTTGCACGCAAGACCTGGTGAACGAGGGGTAGGGGGGCTAAATAGGGACCGACTGGGTGACCTAATGCATCAAAGCACACATCAATCAGTGGAGCAGCAAACTAAATTGCAGGCACACACGTTACTTTACATTACAAACCCAATAATCAACATGCATCAACGGTGAACATGAGAAGAGACGTTTTAGTGAACACACATTTAACAATGAGAACTAATTTAGAAATCTTCCGGAAATCTAGACGCATTTATTGTACCGCAGAATAGAAAACCTCAGATTTCCTCAAGGAACAAGTTATTCGATAAAAATTTATAAAATATGCTGTATCACAATCAAAACATACTGTTGTATCTGACATGATTCGAGGACCTAGTATGGCAACAACAGTTCCCTCCGCTTCTTTCCATAGTTTCTCGTGATTGTTACCAAATAGGAACAGTTTCACACAGCCCATCGTAGTGCCTGGTCCGATTCCGTCAAGATCACTTAAACACCAAACGGAATATATACGGTCATTGCGAGAGCGTCGAGCTGGCAGCTTGCTTCCAATAACACCAACCAGCACGATGTTATCCAGTGAACGCTTCGAGCTTATACCACTGATGTTCGCGTGAGCGCGCTGGTTTTGCATAAGTTGCAACAAGGTCATAACTTGACGTTCTGCAGTTCGTTGCTTCCACAATTCAGATGAAATGCGAGATCGACTGAAATGAACATTGAGTAAGCATAGTGGAGACTGACGCTGCAAAAACGTTAAACATTCTCGCGAACAGCTAGAAATAAATCGAACGAGGCCATTGAGTTGAGTTGCTGAACAAAAGTATAGAGCTCAAATAATGATAACAATAACAGCAACAAAATAAACAATGGATGATCGTTCTCTGTGATTTCAACACTCGGTTAAACACTACGTCAAGACCTAAATCCTCTCCTATCTCATCGTTTATGAGCGAGTAAGAAAGCTAGCTGGTAAGTGAGTGAGTAAGTAAGCGAATAGCGGAATAGAACTTTTTGATGCTACGGCGATTGAAACCCGAAAATTTCTCGGTACGACATTCAAGGTATGCTCTCAAACTTCATGATATTTTCGTGCTGAAGCAAGTGCACTTCCCGAGAAAGACGGATTGGTATCATTCATACGCGACGCAAGTCTGAATCACTGTAACGTAGATGCGACGTGCACTTGTCGTTTTGGGGTTTGTGTACTACGTAACAGTTTGTGCTGCTATATTACCGTATAATTCGGAGAAGTAGCTCTGAAGACCAGATGCGATAAAAAAACTGGCATCGTTGTGTCAATTTTGAAGCGACGATTGAGTTATCAACGGTGAGAACGAGTGCTGGATATTAAAAGACGGACAAACTGGACAATGTCCAGTTGGTCAGAATATGTGGTAAGCCTTTTCCCGGGTAGCCATTTTTTCGACGCCTAATGGTGATCCACAACGGTGGACTGGCAAGTGAATTCTGTTAAAAAGCAACGACAACACCAATGGTTACGCCCAGTCGTGGTGGCAGGAACAGATGGTTGGGCTGTGGGCCAACGGAATAAAACGAAACTGGAAACTTCAAACAACAAACCTGAGTCACAGGAAGTACCACTGTTGCACCTAATTCCCTTTGTTATCTATGAGTTTCTAACTCGTAGCAAGTCTTAATTCTGGTCGGTTTTTTTCTTGCTTTTAATGCGAGAAGTAAGGTAATATCTGGGAGGACTAAAATATGGTACGGTTTTACTTCGATCAACTAGGTCTAAACGAAAATCAACATGTTGCTGATAGGAATCACGAGTGTAACTAACGAGTAACAAGCTACTAGTACCGCAAGTCGTTCTACAGTGAGCATTTTGCAGAAGCCGTGACCATGAACTGATGGGGCTTGAAACAGCAGCAAAACATGGCGACAACAGTCAACACGAAGCATTGGCTTACTGTACACGCAACCTGGATGGTACAGCGATCCAACAGTCAAGTGAATTCTCTTGGACGGAATCCGTCACGGCAGGCTTACAAGTGTTCGGCACTAGTGCCGTGGTCGGTCGTGGAGAACTATTCACTTTTTGATTGGGCCATTGTGCATTGTTCAGGTCGGTGACTGTGGGAATGGGGCAAGGGGAAAAGAAAACCACAGCCAATGACTTTCAGGGAGCATTTGAAAACTGTCGGCAAAATCATTCAGCAGAGAAGGCACCGATGTCGTGAAGAACAGAGGAAGATTGCACGATAAAAGTAACATCAACATCAACTATGGTGGAGCCTCCAACTTTCGGTCATTCTATCCGTGTCATCAACGGATTACCCCGCTATGCAACCACTGCTTGACAAGAATGACGGTTACAGAACAACCCAATGGTTCTTTCAAGTCCGAAAACTGCAAACTAAACAAACCAACTATAATCGAGTTTTGAGGTTAGCGCTCAGATGCGCACGCTCACGCACACACCTGTAAACTGGCCAACGAAATGGAATGAAAGAGCAAATGACGCGCATAGGGTTGGTGAGTTTCACCATCAGACACAAGATGCCCGAACAATCATATAAATAAGCTGTCAAATGGGATGAGCACAGAGGAACTACCGTAGAGGATCGAAGCACGATGTCAGCCATGGTTGACAGGACTTCGAAATTTTGCTTGACCCGGTTGCGATACACTAGATAAGCTCATAGGAACAAGATGCTAAATGAGCAAGTATTGCCATGGCGAGGAAATCAATAGGATTCTGTAAAGAGAATAAGCAATGGACGACATAATGACTGAAAACGGTTGTAGTAATACAGCTTGTCATAGCCAATCTATAGGCTTGGTTCAGTCAGCATTGGTGAAACCAGGAAAAGCAATGGAGCTGGTAAATAGTTCACGTAGCTCTCTCTCCCCCATCCCCCACCCCGAAACTGAGGTAGAGGAAGAAAAAAAAAAAACGTTAGTGCAGCTCGGAACTCATTTA